AAAGGTAAATTCTTAATGTTTATTAGAATCTTTTTTCAATTTCAATAAAGTAAGCAAAATATTACTAATGAGCTGATTCTACATTTTTGTAAACACTAATTTGTTTTATTTCACATTTTTGTTTCATCCTAGTTTTATTTTATTCTTTTATTTCGCATTCTACAGATTCTAATTGTTAATTACCACAATAGTGCACCTTTGCTTCCTAAATTTAACTTCAAATTTCCTAAGAGATAATTTGCATTTATATATTCTTTATTAAATCATACACATACAATAATCAAGAGAGAAAATTTAAATTGAAAATTACACCAAGAAAGGGGTTAAACGTCCAACAGGAAGTCCAGACATCAATATTGAAAAAATAAATAAATAAATAAAATTTATACAACTTAATAAAATAAAGAAAACTAGTAGAAAAAATATAAAATTGTTGAAAATTCCTTATCTATGTATGCAAGATGAAAAATATGTGTATCAGAACTCTAATTAACAAGTCCCTTAACTCTCTACTTTAATTTCGGTATTTTCTCCTTTATAACAATGTAACCATACTTTTAATAAAATATTACAATATTTATGGTGTTAAAATGTAATTTATAAATATGAATATTAGAATGTTGCTTGTATGTTGTGATTAAAGTATTGGTTAAGCAAAATATTTTAACTTTTAGTATTGGATGATGAATGAAAAGTTTAAACAACCTTCCTTGAAAAATAATTTTTATTTGGACTTTATTTTTTAGTCTTTTAAACTGGACTAAGAACTGAAATTTGAAGAATAAATTAAAAATTTTTGGTTATTTTAAAAAATACAATATTAAAAAGTTTATGTTCTACTCATTTAAAAATAATTATTTAGTTCAAAATTTCTTAATTTATACTTTTTAAGTTATATTTCTGTTCGATTTCTAAGATTTAAATGCTTTTTCCTTGAAAAAGCTCTTCTGTTACTAAACTTTTCTCTTTGAAGGGATGAAGAGATTAAAAGTGTGATGACTTAACAAATGGTATAGTAACACCTGTTCTTGAACTATATTGGTACTGTGAGAACTACTCTAGTTTTACTGGAATAATTTAAAAATATATTCAAAGACAGATGGAGCAGCATGTAATACACAAGTTGATAGCACAGAGGATAGAGAAAAAATATTACATGTTCCAGATGAAATCTTGGTTCAGAATGAATTAGTTTCAATTTAGATGTATTCAATTTCCTAATTTTAAGCATTTAAAATTATTGTTAGCTGACCATCAGCATTATGCAAGAATTATATGACATGGATTAGTTTTGAAATGATGCATTTTAAAGAGATTTATTATAAGGAATTACTATTTTTAGGACAGAATGGGGAAATATCCAAATTAAAATAAAGAATGAAAGGACTATTGCAAATTCAAAGTTAGAATTTTGATTTAGCATATATTTTTTTATCTTAATCATATGTAAGTCATAATGTATACGTATGATTAGCAAGATATTTGTTGACTTCAGAATTATATGCAATATCACACACACAAATGCCAACTTTGATGACATATGCATCTAACCAGAACCTAAGTGCAGTTTTTTTTGGCTACAAAATAACATAAACTAGTGGAAATTAATCACTGGAATCAAAGTGCATTGCAATGCATGCCTGTCTAAAACCACATTTCAGAAAAAGCACTCAAAAGTTTCAGGGGTGGTCATGTTATCAGACAAGATGCGAGTCTGCAGAAAATAAATCCATGTAAAATAGCTAACAGGAAGATAATGATGAAATTAACTCTGAAAAGCCACTGAAGGAACAATGGTTTCAGCTAAGAATCTTTAAGATATTCACTTAAATTGATAAGATTGTGATAGCTGGAAACCAATCTTCAAAATTTGGAGGTATGTATTTAGCCTTGGATATTAAAGTTTCAAGTACTCGAATTTACACTAGCCCATTTTAAAATTTTATAACAATGCCAACGTTATATCACTGCCATAGATTTGCATATTCTGCTTCTAAAAGTATTATAATATTTTGATCCAGCTATGCAGAACATCAGTCTATGATCAGCGAGCAATTTATTCTATACAGTGCAGTTATTTTAGTCCCTCCACCCAAAAACAATCACCTGAAATAGCCCTATTATTGTAATATTAATAATATTTTAACAGGTCAAATCTGCAGAAATATATTAAAAATTTCAGCAACAGTAAACAGATGACAAAGCACGCACAAATTGAGGCAAACAACTTGTATTCCTAGCAGCGCATTTAGTACCATGCATTGCTGCAAGATGCCCAGAATATAGCTCCACAGATAATTTCAAGACTCAAATGCCTCTTATACATCTGGCTATCCTATCTTTTAACCCTTTGTTGCTCAGTGTATCACTACATGGAACACCCAACTTGAACCCTTCTGAACCGTAAATTTACATAAAGGATAAAAATGCCTTTATAATATACTTAGAACTTCTCTTTTAAATAGTCGATGGCAGCATATCACATGAGACCTAGAATTTTTTCATTATGATGTGTTATTAAAATCCACTTATTTTCTAGTAATTTTCATTTTTTTGGTGATACAAAAAATTTGTTTGAAAACAATTTCTGTATAATGTTATGGCTGTACTCTATATTATTTGATATATATTTAAAATTTTTTCATACAAAAGCATGCGCAGAATCAATGATATAAATGGGGTGTTCCATTAGCAGGAACACTGCGCCTTTAGCGATCTCGAGCTATTACACATTACAACATCTGTTGTATATGTTTTCTATTTCCGTTGTTTTGGGGGAATGAATTCAAACAAAGCAGTCTTGAGGGGTGAGTGATGGTTTGTGCTACAAAAGCCCTAATATGGTCATCTTGAAATTTTGATAGCTGGAAACCAATCTTCAAAATTTGGAGGTATGTATTTAGCCTTGGATATTAAAGTTTCAAGTACTCGAATTTACACTAGCCCATTTTAAAATTTTATAACAATGCCAACGTTATATCACAGCCATAGATTTGCATATTCTGCTTCTAAAAGTATTATAATATTTTGATCCAGCTATGCAGAACATCAGTCTATGATCAGCGAGCAATTTATTATATACAGTGCATTATTTTAGTCCTCCACCCAAAAATCACCTGAAAGCCCTATTATTGTAATATTAATAATATTTTAACAGTCAAATCTGCAGAAATATATTAAAAATTTCAGCAACAGTAAACAGATGACAAAGCACGCACAAATTGAGGCAAACAACTTGTATTCCTAGCAGCGTCATTTAGTACCATGCATTGCTGCAAGATGCCCAGAATATAGCTCCACAGATAATTTCAAGACTGCTCAAATGCCTCTTATACATCTGGCTATCCTATCTCTTAACCCTTTGTTGCTCAGTGTATCACTACATGGAACACCCAACTTGAATCCCTTCTGAAACCGTTAAATTTAACCATAAATGGATAAAAATGCCTTTATAATATACTTAGAACTTCTCTTTTTAAATAGTCGATGGCAGCATATCACAAGGAGACCTAGAATTTTCATTTATGATGTGTTATTAAAATCCACTTATTTTCTAGTAATTTTCTATATTTTTTTGGTGATACAAAAAAATTTGTTTGAAAACAATTTCTGTATAATGTTGATGGCTGTACTCTATATTATTTGATATATATTTTTAAAATTTTTCATACAAAAAGCATGCGCAGAATCAATGAATAAAATGGGGTGTTCCATTAGCAGGAACACTGCGCCTTTAGCGATCTCGAGCTATTACGCATTACAACATCTGTTGTATATGTTTTCTATTTCCGTTGTTTTGGGGGAATGAATTCAAACAAAGCAGTCTTGAGGGGTGAGTGATGGTTTGTGCTACAAAAGCCCTAATATGGGCATCTTGAAATTTTTGTGATTAGTTTTCAAGGCGGGAATTTTATCAGTAGCTCGAGTCATCTCTTACTTAGGAGAGTTGCGAGAATTATTTTGCTATCGCTTTTTAGTCTCATTCCCATTTATTTACAATAATTGTGTAGATATTTTTTTGTGTATGTATACCTTATAGCTTATTTTTCTTTACAGTTAGTATTAATTGTAGTTAATTTTTTGTTATTAATTTTCCATAAATGGCATGGAGAGGTCTAACTCTTTCCAAAGCGCTTAAAAGTGCTTCATGAATTACCCTCTTATTCTGAATCAGAGCATGAAGATAGCAGCGATACTGAGATATCTGCTCCTGAACCACTTGTGTAATCCTATTGTGATATGTCGGATGAAACTCATTTATTTGATGAGAAGGTTGATGATCCATCTTACCCAGGCCCCTCTACACAGCCTTAAGTTTTTACTTGGAACATATTGTTGCACGGAACAAGACGCGGTACGAAACAAGTTTTGAGTTCAAAACCTGCAAAGTTGGTTTGTGCTTCTATCAAAAAGCTGTGACATTCTTTGAACAATTTCATAAAGCTAAGAAATTGAAAAATTTGTAAATATCTTTGTATATAGGACTTGTGTATATACATATATTTATCTCATTTATCCATACTTATTCAAGAATGTTGTGTATATCCAGAAAAACCATCTATACAGCCATAATACAGTGTTTTTTCATTACTATATGAACGCTCTTACTCATTTCGGTGCTTCACTGCAATGCTCGCTTAGTCGCACTTTTAAAATCTCTGGCAGCGCAGTGTTTTACCTCATGGAACACCCACAGAATTAAAACGGTAAGTGCAATTTATACAAAATTTTACCTGTATACTCCCTTTAGGTCTAGATAGACTGCATACAAATTTTTTTGTTGAAATTCCGACTTTAAAGTATAGTGCACCACAAAGGGTTAACATGTTTGAGTACGAGTTTGTACATATTTAACTTAATATATAAATACAGATTTTTTTTTTCATTGTTAATGGCCAAAAAAAGTCAGACAAAGTTAAATGCTAAATACGTTTTCATGCACTACATGATAATATAAAATCATAAATCATCAACACTAAAAGATGGCCAAACACTTAACATGCATGGGAAAATTTGCTGTATATTTTTTAATATCTCAAAATGCAATTTAGATGCAAACAGTACTTAACAAAGAATGAATATTATTTTCATAGGGAAAAAAATTATACATTAGGGAAAAAGAGATTAATTACAGCACAAAATACGTTCACAATTTCAACAAGTACAAGACTATATAAAGTAGAATTTAAATCAATAACAACATAAAATTTCAACATTTTCAGAAAGGCACTACTAGTAACATAAATATATTAAATAAATGTTTCCTTACAAAACTTTTGAAACATTTAATTTCCTTCCATGGTACTAAATGCAAAAGTAGGTCAGGAAAATTTTTTGGAGAAAGGGATTAAAAATATGAATTTAAAGAATAAGTATTAATAAAAATAATATATTTCAAAATGCAATTTAGATGTAAACTGTACCTACTAAAGAATAGTTATTATTTTTATAAGGGAAAAAAATTATACATTAGGAAAAAAGAGATTAATTACAGCACAAAATATGTTCACAATTTCAACAAGAACAAGACTATATAAAGTAGAATTTAAATCAATAACAACATAAAATTTCAACATTTTCAGAAAGGCACTACTAGTAACATAAATATATTAAACTATGTTGTTAAATATATTAAACAAAACTTAAAAAATATAGTATTTTAAAAACATTCAAAATTATGAACTTTATTAACTGAAAATATTAATACATTTATTAACTTTGAAAGAAATCAGAATTTATGTACAGATAATACTTTACACAATCATCCTTTGCTTTTACTATTTGCTTTATAAAAATACTTCAACACAAAAATACATGAATTGTTCATATCAAATATATTCTTAATATATTTTACAATTATTTATAACATTACAAATTCCAGGAAGTCAAAATAAAATAAATAACGTGTTTTAAGTTAACACTAAATCCTAAAAAAATTAATAGGAACTGTCCTTTTAAATAGGTTTATACAGCAAAGTTGTCACGTATTTCTTCTTATATCGAAGAGTGGCACTCAAAACCATAACTCCGTCCTAAAGAAGCAAGTTAAAGATTAAAAAAATATTTAAAATTATGCACATCAAAGAAATAAGAAAATGAAATAATGTAAGTTAACTGACCTTAATTGACAGTGCATATAAGTGGTTCAGCATCACATGATTAGGTTCTGGCAGGAGAATTGGCTCACTCTAAAAATAATTTAGGAAGTTTTAGACATATTTTAGACTAGTGCTTTAATGTTCTAAGTATTAAAAATTAAATAATGAGCTTAAAATAAGAAACTGATAATTTTTTTTTCTGTTTAAATGGAGTTCATACCATACAGAATGAATGAAGAATGGTCAATAAAAAATAATAATAAAAAAAATCTGAAAGTTTTAAGATTCTTCATTACGCCCAAAGTAACTTTATTTAACCTTTTGTGTGTTACCTTTATTTAAATATCATGCTCTTCGCACTTCTGGGCTAGTACCCTTTGGGCTAAAAAATTTGAAGTTAACACACTAGAAACCGCATTTAAGCATTAATAAATTAGAAGCTTTCACACACAGACACGCAAGCATTATCTGGAACCAGAGGGAATAGCTCGAATACGTAGATACTTGTACTTTTTTCTAGCATTCTGCAGTTCAATAAACAGTGCTTTGCCCGATATTGAAAACTGAGACTGGACGGGATCTCAAAGCCCATTTACACAAGCACACTTTTGACCTCGAGAAATGTGTGTGAATTTGACGACGCCAGTAATGGAAGAAAAAACTCTCTTTCGTAGACAAAACAGAGTATACTGGCATTTAATGCATAAAACAAATATACAGCCTACACAATAATGTCATTCAAAATGTCAAAGCTGAAATATTTCTTTAGCACATGAAACCAAGTCCACTAAAAAAACATCAAACAAAGCCATAATTTCATGCACTGTCTCATTTAGGAGCAGACAAATTTGCTTCTATCACAGTCCTGCTCTAAGCCTTATAAAAAGAAATTCATGCTTGCACTTCTTCAGTTAGAGTGGACATTTTCTCACTGCCATTCTGCTATGTGTAGGGGGATGAAGCACAACTTGATCATAATCTAAGGTAATCAAAAACGTTATTGCCATTTCTGATATGACATTGGAAGAGTGAACCCCAACATAAAAATAGTCGCCAAACCTGGAAATGAAGTGGTTAGGATGGGAGTCCGGACATTCACCAAGAGTATAAAAGAATGTTGCATCGGTACTTCAAACATATCTCACACAGCGACTGTTGAAATGAGCGCGTCGAAAGCGCTCGTTCGGAGTTGTTTGCTGTATGATTTTAAAGTGGACCTGTCAGCAACAGAATCAGGGTTGCCGAATTTGCCAGGTCTTTGGGGATGATGCCGTTAACGAATGAACCACTAGGCAATGGTTCCAGAAGTTCAGGTCAGGAGCTATGTCTCTTAGTGATGCACCACACAGCGGTCGGCCACAAGTGCTGGACGATGAGGCCCTGAGAGCAGCCATAAAGAGTGACAGTAACGAAACGTGTGGTGAGCTTGCTGCACACTTCCAGGTATCTGACGAAATGATCAAACTCTATTTGCACCACATGGGAAGGGCAGACAAGCTGAGCAAGTGTCACTGTCTGATGCAAACAAGCAACAGCATGTTGCTCCCCGTTTGTCATTGTTTACTCGGCACTGCAATGCATCCATATTTAATTGAGTACTCACCTGCTTGTCATTACTTACTTGGCACTGCAATGCATCCATATTTGATTGAGTACACACCAGCAATGAAAAGTGGGTCCAGTATGACACACCCAGGCATTCCAGACATTGGTTGTCACCATGGGACCCTGTGCCTCACACTGACAGACCTTCTCTCCACCCATGCATGATCACGCTCTGTATCTGGTGAACTAGTCCCCAAGTGGTGCACTATGAGCTCCTACCAGTGAGCCATACCATCACAGCAGGCCTGTACTTGCAGCAGTTGGAATGTGTGAATCAGGCACTGATGAATAAAGAGCTAGCATTAGTCAATTGTAAGACGTACACCTCCTTCATGGCAATGCGAGGCCGCATGTGGCTCGGGAGGCCAGGGACACCATCCAGCAACTGGACTGGGAGACATTACCCCATCCACCATACTCCCCAGACCTCATGCCAACAGACTACTTTGCTCTTCACTTCATCCCTGATGAACTTCAATGTAGTGCTGACTGCAGTGCAGGTTACTCCCTCCCTCAGATGAAGAATACATCTTGTAACTTGAAGGACTTGCCTATATGGTATTATACATTGAGTTGTATCAGAATAATGAAGCATTCTTTTTTGCACTCTTTTAAATTTTGCACCATGCGAGTGCATGAGCAATTAGCATAATAGGTGTTTGAAAGGAATAAGTGTTTATAAAATTAAAAAAATACAGAAATTAATAATAATAAAACTTACAGATTCCACAATTTAAATTTATACTAAAGCAAATAGCTTTAGCTCAATTTTACATTTACATACTGCAACTTTAGCCACATCCTGACTGCTCTTGGTGCAGGTCGAAAAGCAAAGCACACAACTTACAATCTAATGAAAAAGAGGAATGCAAGTTCAAGATGATTTCTCCACTATACAAAATCTATGCTGTGGGAAAATGTTATACACCAGGGATGGTCATATTTCATGAAAGAAAAATCTATATGTCAGAATTCATAGGAAGGAATTTTTGAGAGTTGCAATGAATTTTTTTTAAGAGCTGCAATTCCATACTTATATTGCTTTAAAAATAACAAAACAGATTTTTATCAAAAGAAATATTCAAAATATATTTATTTGAATTTAAGCTCATGAATTTAGTATATTTATCAACAAATCAAGAATTTTATTACATACTTCATTTACTAAATTTGATTTACATCTTTTCACAGATATAGAATTTTTTAAAAAAGTGGTCTTACATATGTTTTTCATTAAATGCAAATTTCAAATTTTCCTTAATTAAAAACTTTTATTACTAAGTAAAATTTTTCCTTAACTTTTTCTCTTATTTTCTTGTTATCTGAAGGATTCGAGAGATTTGATATCCAAGAAACTCATAAATCTCTAAGGATTCAAGTTCAAGGAAATTCAGGATGACATATCTTTAATTTTTCCATTGCAAGTCAAAAACTGTTCGTAATATAATTCAGCAAAATTTGATATACATTATTAGTACACTGATATAAGATCATTAATTGGAATAAAATTTATTCTCCAATAACAACTGCATCATAAAACTTCAGGACAATAAAAAGTTTCATGATCTAAGTGCAACTGAATGGCAAAATAAATGAAAGGATCAGCCATGCAAAAGGAAATTTACTTTCAGTATTTCTCCCAAAATTTCTTACAGATGATGCATTTCAGGTAGGTATTTGAATCAGACTTTTACTAAGGATGGACATTTTCATATATATTATGGAAAATTTAATATAACATTTTTCACACCTCTATGTTATAATTTGGAGGCAGATGTCACTAAAATTACTCTGCAATCCATTTCACTTCATAGTGTAAGGAGAAAATTTTAACTAATCATTATAAAAAGTTTATAAATGTGTTCTGAAAAAAGAGGATGACTTACATAATTAAATATTATGAATGTTATATATTAGTTAAAGAATGAAGAATTCCACTCTCTGCACATAATGTATATAATTTTTTAAAATTTTTATAATCTATATATCATACCTTTTGTTATAAGCCTATCTAATTTTGGACCAGCTGGGTCTTAAATTTCAAGACACTATCACAAATCTTCCAATCAATTTTAAGAGATGTATTTTGCATACCACACAAGAAATATTATTTACATGGTAACTCTTAACAGCAGGGCAAGCTGTATACATTTGAAATATTTGTCACTGAAGGTTTCAGACAAGAGCAAGAGTCTACCTGAAGTCTCTAGAGCACAGCACTTTGAAGCGACGAGTGTTTGAAATGGAATCTGCAAGTGTCTAGGGGTATTGCAACTGTAGGAAATCTAAGATAGTATTTAAAAAATTGAAAACTTACAAGTCAGAACTCATAGAAAATGATGTACAATAAGTATATCATATTTTGAAACCTTGTTGAAAAGAAGGTTTGCACTGTGTGAAGTCTGTAACAATTAGGCAGTGGATCACTGTACACAGTCTCATAATCTTTGGTTGGGCTACCTGTTTTTGTGTAGAACATTTCAAATGTGCAAGATCACAATAGACCTGGTACATCATAAAGAACAACTGACAAAGGAAGTATGATACTTGTAATGGGCTAGATATTGTCCAGCAACATGACGAGAAATATCTCAAGTTATAATTATTTAATGAACATCAGTATACCATATTTTGAGAAATGCTTTGTAGGAAAGAGAGGTTCATACCAGATGTATTCTGTACTGCTTCTCATGACTGTATTGAAATGAAGGCTTAATGATAAAGGTGAAAAACCTGTCTCAAATAACCAGAAGAAATGTGAATTAGAGACCAAACTACAGTTGAAATCATGGTCTATCAAATGAAGAAATCCGCCTTTGCCATGGCAGCCAAAATTTTGACAATCATAGATGAAGCAAATGTAGATCTGCCCTGCATTACGAAAGACAGGATTCCAGGAGGAAAAATTAGCAGAATATTATTGTTGGCTGTATTCAAATTATGTAGAAAAATGCACAAAAACTATCTGACTTGCTTACAGATGCTTAGGGATGGATATGAGTAGGTTGTGACAGATCAGCAGAACAAGTTTCATTTCATTCAAATACAAAGTATATACATAACTTTATCATACATTAATACTTTCCCAATTTGAAAGAACTCTGATACAGACTGTGTTTTTTTCCCATACAAAGTTTCTTCAGAACTTACCCAAGCCATCTGAAGACTGGAAGAAAGCAGTATCTTACAAGAAATAGCAAAAATTCTGAGTTACATGGATCATGGCTACTGAAAGACAAAGAAGTAATGCAAGGAGTAAGTGCCTCAAATAAAATAGGATCATGGCTACTGAAAGACAAAGAAGTAATGCAAGGAGTAAGTGCCTCAAATAAAATACAATCTGAGGGGAGAAAGGAATTAAGAGAGCATTAATTTTTAAATGACTTTTGCATTTGTCTTTTGCTCTGCCTTCATGGTCATTATCTGCTATAAAAATAATACGGCCTTTACATTAATTTGCAGAAATGGAATTATTTACATTTTATTATTACTTTGATGATTAGTGTATAATGAACAGTTTGAAATTGATTAAATTGTTTCACTTATACTGTAATTTAAGAAATTAAATTACTAATTTCTTAAAGAAATATGTTATTGCATGGTTTTTGATTAAAAAAATAAAACTACCATTTGCTTATTATATTTTATATTTGGCATGTTATATTTAAGGGGCCGAACAGCCCTCAAGCAGCTCATGAGTTGCAGTTAAGGACAAGCTGTAGTTTGGTTATGCGTGTTATATACCAAGAATATATAGGGAGAAAAAACTATACAAATAAAATGAGAATTCCCAATCCTTTTTTCCACTATGTAAGATAACTGTGAAACCCTATGTTTCCACAGAACATTATTTAGAAAAACTGAATATGAAAAAGTAAAAAAATTACTAATAATTAACAAAAGAATCACCATGCAGGGCCAATAACAAAGCACCACATTATCTCATTAATTAATAAAATTCAGCATAATATAATACTGAATTAGTATTTAATAAACTTTGTTTTTTATATATAACTTTAAAAAATTACACACAAAATGAAACTAAATTATTTTTATTCATAAATTAAGTAAGTTTTGGATAAAAATTAAACATACTGATAATGAAACATCTTTATTCAAAATAACTTCCAGTAAATGAGGTGGCAAAATAGGAGGTCCAGATGCTTTGTCATAGGGTCTTCGTGGAGGAATTTCTTGAGAGTAAGATCCAGGTGGAGAAATAGAATAAGCTAAAAACATAAAAGCTGGGTATGAACAAAAATACACAAACTAAGAATATAATAAATACATAAGTTAAAGTTATAAAAAAGTTATAAGTATATATAAAAAAGTTATTAAAGTTATAAGTTGATAAATTTAAATTGCAATTCTTTTCCATGTTCATAAATATCACGATTTAACAGAATCCACACATTGCAATCACGTCCCATTAAAATGATCTTCAGTGCAATGGCAACAAAAAGCACAAATGATCATTGCATCCTACTTTGCTTGAAATCAGCAAAAAATATACATGAAATGCTATTTCCTTAAAATACCTAATAATACTTAAATTATCATTGTAATACATATGTTTAGAATGTTCATACTTCTAATACACACTAAATTAAAGGAATATCTACAAAAAGGGACCCAATGAAAGTTAGCTGGTCGGTAATTTAAGATCAAGGTTATGATATAGTCCACCTTTGCAATATAGAAGTATGAAAATTTTTCCGTCTGTTCCTTGAGAATATGTAGAAAGGAGTACAAGGGGGTGCTACAGATTCTAATGTCAAAGACTATATGAGTAACTGGATAAAATTTTAGCATATGGAAGCTGGAATGCCTCACTGAGAAGGCATTTGACAAATTGTGAGAAATGGCAGAGAATGAGAAAATAATATAAACTGATGTCAGTCTGTAAAGACCTAATGTAGCCTTAAGTGTCATGTTAAGAATCTGGAAATGGAAACTGGTGATGTATGCAGACAACTCACATTAACTCAAATTGCAGCTCTTTCAATATGGCTATCCAGCTATCCAGATATACAATGAATGACAGATGACGCTTCTCTTAACTGAGCCTACAAAATGCACTCAGTTGCAGAGATGCAGAGAACATTGTGACTGAAATATCAGGGACTGGAGCCAAGTCCTCTTTACTAAAAGTCTCATTTTATTTGAAGAATATTAGACATGTTAAAATCTGGAGGGAGAAAACACATGCATTAAGCCTGAAAGCATCGGGAATGGTATCAGTACGAAGGAATGGTATCAGAGTATGAACAGAAATCATTCTAAATGAATGACCTACCTATTTTTGTCAATGCAACACCATGCACTGAATGATTGCTGAAGGATGAGGTTCTCGATACTTGGGTGAAGTTGTTTAGGAGTGCAGTTAATTAATAATTTCCTCCTTAATGGATGATAATGCTCATCCCCATCACATGGCACTACTGACTGATAACCTTCAGAACGAAAGAATCCAGCAAATCAAGCGGACCATATATTCTTCATGTTTAAACCCAATATAAAGTGTGCGCGCTGTACTACGATGTCAATTTGCATGACTGCAGCCATCACCCACTCTTCGGGCTAGAATATATTTCATTACCAAAGGAACTACAGGATAATCTAAGATACAGCATGGAAAAATGGCTATTAAGCTTCCTTTCTGGTCAGAGTCGAGGGCATAGCTGGGCATCTGTCTCTGGCAACAGCACCCAGGGGTGCCAAACCGATGTTATGAAACTTTAAAATTAAATGTTTTCCATTCTTGGCAAATTGGAGGGGGAGAGAAATCTTCAGTTGTCCCCGGGAGCTATGATTCTAGTCAGCGTGACCAGACACCATACAAATTTTTTCTATGCATCTCTAAAAATATGTAACATGAACTTTATCCTGCCACACTTTAGATCTCATTCCCTATGTTCTTACTTAAAATATTTAAACAGAAATAAACAATTCTGCATTTTGAAGATACGCTATGCAATAAATATATATACAAAATAAAGATCTTGTGCAAGTTTCATGGTTCTATCTGCAAAATCATTTTCACAGTTGTTTCTTTAATTTTCCCTGGCAGTGTAAATCATCAAATAATTAAAAAATAATAAATAAAAATATCCATAGGAATTTCCATTAATCTATAAAAAAAGAATGAATAAAACAGTTGTTTATAACTTAAAAAATAGAAACCAGTATTTTTTGATAAAATCATTTGTGCCAGGTTATTTTAGCTGACAACATGCATACATAAGTTCCCCATTTTGCAAAGTTTACATCTAAAATATAGGCTTGCATTTTCTTTGCAAAAGCAAAAATTTTGCACAACTCCAACTGCATTTATACACACAGCTGTTGTTTCTCTGCAACTTTATGGGAAGTATAAATTGCACTGATTTAATAAAATTTTAGTGAGTCTACAGTTAAATCATCTTCAGATAAATATTCTAGAGAACAAATATATTTATCAATTGCTACAGAATCCTCAAAGTTAAATTTTCTAGATTTTCCACACTGTTTGCCATAAAAAATATTTTGACATTTTTCCTGCATATCATTGGATGAAGAGAGAATTTGTGTTGTTTTACTAATGGCAGGAAATCTTCAGCAGATTTTTCATTGATAAACTCTGTATAAAGACATTCACTGCATACCATCAGGGAGAAAATTTAATCCCCAACGACTTTTATTCAATGAAGATCATTTAGCATATTTATATCACAAAGCAATTAATTTTTTTTTTCCTGCCACACATTCTCCATAATGCTTTTAAAAGCTCGGGATTACTCCTCGATTCATAGCTTTGCAAAATCAAGGTAACTTATGGGCTAAGAAATTTACTCTTTTGCAAATTTAAAATTTCCATTATTTCAAGGAAGTGAAGTGCAGTGTAATTCTGTTATTAATGAATAATAAAAATGTTTCTTTCCATTAACAAAATTTTTTGTCAAAATGCTGCATTTTTTCTGAAAGTTACCATATTTAAGCTAAGCTTTTTAATTGCATCACAGCTTAAGGGAAAAGGTTTAAAATTTTTACAACAGCATGGTTTCTGAGCTTAAGAGAAGATTTTTGTGCTGTTGAAAAGAAACTTGGTATAGTAATACTTAAATCTGCTGGCTAAAATGACCTGCAGAAGAATTATTCTTAGAAAAAAGCTTACATTTTACCCTATTTATGCTTTCGAGAAAGTTGCTACAATGTGATTTTGGCAGATTAATGGGTTGTCATCTCAGGTTTATTTCCTTAAGACTAACAGTTTCTTGAATATAATAATCATCATCAGCGATGGGTCACCATGTTGAGGATGGTAATAATACTGGTTAATTGTATGACATATACATTTAATGACGCAGTATTCACAAATTTTCTTGACAGCTCACATCAGAAAACAGTCATAAAAGATTCTTCCCCAAATAGAAACAACATACCATCAAAACTAGAAGTTTTTCTTAGTATCATTTCCTAGATTTTAGAAAGCTATTATTTATATTAGTTATAAAATATTTATTTCATTTTCTGAAGTGAATTATCCCTCAAAACTGGCATATATACTATAACTTAACTAAAGTAATACAGTCAAAAGTCGTCAATTCGGACACCCATAATCCGGACCTCAAAGCTGTCTGCGAATGCATCGCGCATAGGCATTTACGCGTGCGCGTAAGACCTCTACGGCTGTGAATATGCATGTGCGCAAGCGCATAATACGTTTACGCATGCGCGTTTAATGTATAACGGTCGGTATAAGCTAAGCTAAAATTATCTAATTCAGTTAATGTTGCAGATTGCGTTGTTCCTTAATCTTCGAAATGGATCCGGCTTATTATTTTTTGTAGACTGTTAGAGCAATTTTATAAAAGTAAGCTTGAACTTTTGATTATGTCAAATAGAATTTCCGATATATATTTACTAATATGAAAATGATCTATAAAGCGAAAGTATGTTTTGAAATCCGAAATCTGTTTATCAATTTCACGCTGCTCTGCAGCAGTGTGTGGGGGGGAGAAACGCCAACGTCGCGGCGTGCAATGAATTGGAAGTTGATCTGTCAGCACTATCTTTATCTTCAGGGCAGATGTTTTTATTTTATTTGGCTTATAATTCCTTACTAAATGTGCTATTTCATCTCAATGTACTCCGTCTTTGATATGATTTAAATTAAGTTCCTCGTCATTATAATTCACTTCCGATAGTGAAGAAAGTGACAGAGAGGTTATTGAAAACGAAAAATTTCGATTGACAAATTAGTCGGTATTCTTGACACAGCAATTATAGGACTTGAACAGCGGAACTTTGTAACTAAACAAGAAATTATGTCTGTTTAATAGAATTAAAGAGAAAGTATTATCACATGAAACGAAGCAACTTAAACAACTTACATTGAAAGAAATGTTTAATAAAGTAAACAAATAAATATTAAGCTTTTTCTTTTTGTAAATTTTGATACCCTTTAGATCATAATTGTTCTTTATTTCATAAATTACGGTTTCATATTTTTAATTTTGTAATTTCTGCATGCCATCTTACCAGATTTAAACTGATGATCTATAATCCGGAAAAACCCCTAATCCAGAATCGCCAAAGTCCCGACGAGTCCGGATTAACGACTTTTGACCGTACGATGAAATGCCCATAAAATTAAAAAATCACGACTTCAAAAATGAATTGTATATATAATACATTGATGATTTTGCATATTGAATGGATAACTTAGAAATGCTTATTCAACAATAACAACACTTGATAAATCATTTCAAATAGACTGCAGCTACCTATATCTTCCAACGCTTTCTCTATTGGACTACTTAAAGCAGGAAGAGGATGGGGACAATCCAAGTTCTGTAAAGTGAAAAGGTTTGTGCATTCAGAAACTGAGACATAGAGCACATGTGTCAAGTCTAAATGTCTGACATCACAGGGAGACCAGAGTACAGGGAAAACACCAAGTCATTGTTTTGGAATGCTGAATTCTTGTGGGGTCCTCTGTCTCTTGTGAGTGAAAATCTTTTTTCAAGGTTAGCAAATTTCCAATAGTTTAGTTTTATTTTAATACTACGTCATATACACTTCTGTTTTATACTATCAAATATTTTATCTTCAGTACTACTGTAGAGGCCCTTATTTTCACGAGGCTTTAATTTTCGTGAGCCCGTCATAATCGCGAAAATTTAGACCTTGCGAAATACTTTTTTTTTTCCGTCTCAAATAATAATAAAAAGTCAGAAATTTTCACTTA